AGAGCGTCTTCCAGCGCATGGCTTACCTTATAATTGCTGGAGTTCACCCAAAAGGTAGCGAGTCCGTCCACGAGTTTGTCTAATGTGGTCTGGTCATGCTCGAGGTCGGCAGACTTCTGTTTGTCTGAGAAATAGTCTATCAGTTCTTGGCCGACCTGCAGTCGCTTCCCCACATCCTTCTGCAGCACCTGTGCCAGGCAGGCCTCCATGCGAGGCTCCATGGTGGAATTCCAATCCAGAGCCAGCTGAAGCTAGAGGGCAGTCAGGGTGACACCCTCCCAGCAAGCGTCCCCGGGAGGCGGCCTCTTTGTTTGCTGAAGGTTACTAAGAGCCTGTGTTTCAGAGATGCAATCTGGGGAATGGCAACAATGCACCATGTGTGTCTGAAGAGCAGCTGGTAGGATATTAAAAGTCCAATTTAAATAACTAGTAGGGGAGAAGGGAGTGAGTGGCAGAGTGATGTTCTCCTCCTGGGTCTGGAATACTTCATAATTCAGCAGTCCATTCTGAAAAGTTAGAGAAGAGAACGACAAATCAGCACAGGTAACAAAACTCTCCAATGCTCGGAAACGTTCAATCAAAGACAAAGCAGTTCACGCTGCAGCATCGTTTATAAGCACAAGTGGAGTGAGAAGCATGAATGCTTGGCAACCATATCCGAATAACATAATTATTATTTTTATCAGGAAGAACACTGAAGCCCAAAGCAAAGAGCCAATGAGCTTGACAGTTGGTGGGTTGAGGTTTTTCACAATTTTCCAGTTTGTAAATGCACCAGTCAGGAGAGCAATCATCTGCTTCAGCTGGAAGATTTATTTGTAGCTTAAGTTTTGCTTCCCACCAAAAACCTAACACCACTCTGTGTCTGAATCCTGTAGGTACTGTAGCTTATTGTCTCACTCTCAGTTTTCTAAAAATCCAAGTGCTGGAAGTGAGGCAGGCTCCACAGAAACACCACTGACCAAACTGGCCAGCCCGGTAACACTAACCAAAGCCAAAGGCAGCACCTACACCAAACTTCTTGCTCAGCAGCTTTACAACAAGGTGAGTAGGTAGTGGTCCCTGCCTCTTCCTCCAAAGAGAGTGATGGAGGGAGAAAAGGAAATAGGCTCACATTCTGAACACATTCTATTGACACAGTGTTCTCCACTGACAATAGCACCAACTGGGCTGGGTGTTTTGTTACAAAATCAGGAGACCTCAAAATCACGCTTATGGGGAAAGTACCAAAATCATTTTCATTAGACAAATTAAACAGGCCGACCATCTAATCTACAGCTGCTGGAACAATTGTACACATTTATTTGTTACAATTTCTTCTCTCAATTCCTTCCATTCTAACCCAAGAAGATGCACAGAAAACCTGTCTTCAAGATGCAGCATCCCCCCGACACTGTACCAAATAGAAACGTTCTTCACGCCGACAGTAGACGCCAACTCTCAGGGGTTCGGCAGGTAGAGCTGACCTTATAAATCAAGTAAGGTTAAAATTCGGTGCAGGGTGACTCTTCCAGTCTGAGCACAGGGAATCTCTCCCTTCCTGTCATCACCCCCACCCCATTCCTACCCACAGTATAAAAGCACAATGCTCTCTCTGAGTTCTAGAATGAAAAACAAGCCAAGTCATTCAATGAGGAAAACCCTCCTGCAAACTCCCTGGCACTTAATTACCCATCTTCTGCTTTACTTTCAATCAAGAAGACTCGCTGTCTCACGTGGCAATCCTTCCTTAAATGGAGGAAATACGCGCTTTCCAGTCATCTCCACACCCTGAAACTAGTCCCTCCTTCCCAAGAAAGATCTTCAAATACAGGAAAGGAGCTATTACCCTTCACTCCAACTTTTAGTCCAAACAAAATATCCCCAGTTCCCTAATGAGCTCCTATGTCGGACTAATGAAGGGTTCAGTGATACAGGAAAAGTGGAGAAACCAACAGAACCTTTTCTTTCTGGGCCCAATTTTAGCCCAAGGAGGAGATCTAATAAGATCAAGCTTGTGATAGATTAAAAAGGGCCACAGATGCTTTGCTACTCCCTCTTCCACAAGGTGGGGTCTCATCCCCCCACAGTGACCCTGGGATTGGTCTGAGCCTTGCTTTGGCCAGTGGGAAATCAGAGACTACAGGAGCGAGCAGAGGTCTGACACTGGAGCTTGCGTGACTGCTGTCAGAAAGCTGGTCTAGACTCCTGAACACAAGAAACCATTAGAGGAGAACCAACATGCTTCAGAAACAGCCGGCAGAACCTGCCAGACATGTGAGTGAGTCCACGGGGGGACCATTCAGCCTCTCCAGTCAACCTCTGACTGCGGCTACACAAATACATCTAACGAGACAGGTTAAACCACAAAAGGGTAAGAAATAGTTCATTGTTGTTTTAAGCCACGAGATTTGTGGTGCTTTGTTACACACCAGTAGATAACTGATACACTCCTTCTTCCCCTAAACATCTATCTTTCATTCTCAATGAAAAGAATCTCATATCCTTTATTCCTTCAAGGGGCATAAAATCAACAGACACTAACCAGCAACGATGATGATGATACCGTTTATGAGCATCCACATGAGGTGTCAGGCTCTATGCTAGATGATTTATTCAGACTATCTCTAATTCTCCAACCCACTCTATAAAGGAGATACTAACATCCCCATTTTACAGAGGAAGAAACTGAGGCAAAGGTAAGTAATTTTCTAAGGTTGCATGGCCATAAGTTTCCCTTCCCCACCTTCAAACCCTTGTTACTACAAGTCTGGCCTAGTTTTGTTCTGACTCAGGGAAAGAAGGTCAGACTTCATGCTTAGCTGGGAAGCAACAGGCAAGAGAGTAAAGTCTCCACCCCCAGGGGAGGAAGGAGCCCTGCATTCAAGTCTCTTTCCTGTGATTTTTTAAATACATATTATATAAAAACTTCCTCTTCAGTTGGAATTCTATAAGATTTCTAACAAATAAGTATATGCTTCTTGATGGTAATTATGCAGTAAAGGCTAAGCACACTCAAAAGTAGGTCACAAACTCCTTATGGAGGAAACCCACAGAATGAGATACTAGAAGCTCTCACGCATTAAGCAGACTGGTCCTCTCTGTTCTCTCTTTTTCTCCTTAATTTAAAAAAAGAAGTAATGGATGATCCCCTCCTGCACAAAAGTACAAGACCTCCCTACCACTCCTGTCCCTCAGCCACTGTGTTTCCCCACCTAAAAGTGAAGACTGCGGCTAGCTTCCTTTACCTCCTTGCAGAGATATTTTTAGCTACCCAAGCAAATAAGTATAGGTGTTCTCCCCTCTGTACCCCCTAGGGAGAGTTTCCTAAGCATTTACAATATGTCACAAGAAGCAGCCCAACTCTGCGGCAGGCCAACAGGAAAAAGTTAAAAAATACCAGGTTCAGCAAGAATGAGGAAACACACAGCAGGACAGCCTGATGTAATGTACACATGTGAGACAGCCTCCAGTCTTAACTCTGCCACTTCCTGAGTGGCGATGGGAAGAATACTGGCTCCACATTCATTAAGTAAGATTAAGGGTGGGAAGGGCTCGCACAGGGCATTTTTGTTTGTTTGGTTTTTGTTTTGCGGTACGCGGACCTCTCACTGCTGTGGCCTCTCCCGTTGCGGAGCACAGGCTCCAGACGCGCAGGCTCAGCAGCCATGGCTCACGGGCCCAGCCGCTCCACGTCACGTGGGATCTTCCTGGACCAGGGCACAAACCCATGTCCCCAGCATCGGCAGGCGGACTCTCAACCACTGCGCCACCAGGGAAGCCCTGCACAGGGTATTTTTAAAAAATAGCTCCAGGACTTCCCTGGAGGTCCAGTGGTTATGACTCTGCGCTTCCCAGGCAGGGGGCCCGGTTTCGAGCCCTGGTCGGGGAAATAAGATGCCACATGCCACGTGGCGTGGCCAAAAAAAAATAAAATAAAAAGTACTTTACATTAAAATAAATAAATAATAAATAACATATCCTCTCTCGATCCCTTACTTACGGTCCCTACTCTGTGGCACTTGGGCCACAACCATAGAAGAGTGCCGAGGACTGGGGCAGAGAACAGAACCAGCTGTGAGCTCTGATCTTCTGCATCTACTACAGGTTTCTCCATAAGAGAAGTTCAAGGTAGGACCATTTTCACTCGTGGCGGAAAACAGCAATGAGTTAATATTTCTCCTAAGTGTATAGACTGGCTGGGCTCAGCTGGCAGGTCCTTCTGCTAATCTTGCCTGGGATCACTCGGGCAGCTGCTGTCATCTGCCAGCCTGACTGCAGCTGAAGAGTCTACAGTGGCATCACCCACATGTCTGAGGCACTGATGCTGGCTGTTGGCTGGACCTCTTGCCACACGTGACCTCTAACCACTCAGTAATATAGTCTGCAGTTCATTATACATGGTTGGAACATTCCAAGATGGCAAAGGGAAGTGGCCAGGCCTCTCAAGGCCCGGGACACAGAACGTGCAAATCACTTCTGCAACATTCTATGAGTCAAAGCAAGTCACAAGGTCAGCCCAGAACAAAAATGTGAGGAAATGGATTCTACCAGTTAAAAGGAGCCACAAAATATTGCAGCCATGTGCTTCAATCTAATATATATGTAGTCATGTATGTAGTGGGTATCTGTAGAATGACTACATAGATGGGGTAAATACATTTGTCTTCTCTGTTTGCCCATTATCTTGATTACTTTTATTTAACCATCAATTTATCATATATCACATCTCATTACAGAAGATACAAAAGAAATAACTATAATCTATGACTTGACTTGAAAACGCTTCCAACTTACTTGGAGAGAACAAGAGATACGTACTCACAAAAAGCTTGTCAATGTGAGAATTCAGCACAAACACAGGGACTTCCCTGGTGGTCCAGTGGGTTAGACTCCACGCTCCCAATGCAGGGTGCCCAGGTTCCATCCCTGGTCGGGGAAGTAGATCCCACATGCCACAACTAAAAAGTCCCGTGTGCTGCAACGAAGATCTTGCATGCCACAATTGAGATCCAGTGCAGCCAAATACACAAATAAATAGTAAAAAAAAAAAAAAAAACCCACAAACACAGGATGCACAGTTAGCAGACTTCACAGATAGAATGCCGCACCTGCCAAATAAGGGCTATAAATAAGTACTGTGGTTGTTTAGAGAAAGGATGGATCAAGAAGGCCTGGAATGACCAAGTCAAAACCAGTCAGACAACGCTCAGTTTAAGTTTTGTCTCGAAACACGGACAGGACGTCCTACATCAGTTATGGCACTTAATAGGGGGAAAAAACCTAAGCAGGTGAGGGATGTGGAAACTTGTGAACGGTTGAGGGAAGAAGTGTGGCAACAGAGACAGTGAGATACCTCTGAGATGGGCAAGCATTATTACTCCCACTTTTTTTTTTTTTTTTGGCCGTGCAGCTTGCAGGATCTTAGTTCCCTGACCAGGGATTGAACCCAGGCCACGGCAGGGAATGTGCTGAGTCCTAACCATTGGACCGCCAGGGCATTCCCATTACTCCCACTTTGAAGATA